AAACGTTAACTCTGTTTTCTCCTCCACAGATGCTGCCAGACCTGCTGAGCTTTTCCAGCAACTTTGTTTTTGTTCTTAGTTTCAGGACTCACTGCAGGAGTTCTTCGGAGTACTGTTTTGGCCTAGCCATCTTCAGCTGATTTACCTTCTCTCGATCATAATGTCAGAAATGGGTGTTCAATGATGACCACACAATATTCAGTACCATTTATGACTCCTCAGATATTGGAATAGTCTGTGCCCATATGTTTGTGTATTTGAACAACTTTTGTCCTTGTGTTGATAAGTAGCAAGTTGTTTAGTTACCACAAAATGCCAGGCAATGACCATAACCAATGAGTGAACATCTAACCAACTCCCTGTGGTATTATTATCACTGAATCCCCTTCCATCAATTTTCATGGCATTACCATTGACCAGAACCTTATTGGGACAGCCATATAACTATTTTGGCTACACCAGCATGTCAGAGGCTAGGAATTCCATACTGAATAACATCACCTCCTGATTCTACAAATCCTCTCCAACGTCTAAAAGGCACTGGTCAGGAGTATGATTCAACTTGCCTGCTGAGATCCACCAACTTTAACGTTCACTGTACCATCATCAGTGCACAGTAGTAGCACTGTGTCTAAGATGCACTGTAGTAATGCCCTAAGACTCCTCTTCACAGCACTTTTTGAATCTGTGACCTGTACACAGAAGGACATGGACAACTACTTCACATGGTCGAGACTATTCCAAAGACTCTGTTGGCCCAAAATTATATGCCTAAGGAGAAGTGGATCCCAGTGATGGTGTTGGCTCAAACAGAACTGGTGTCATATACCGTACAGACTAAGGATGAACTGGTTTGGAGGAGACATGCGGACCAGCTGGTCGCCAGACCTCATCAGAGGGAGGATGTTCCTTGGAAAACCAAGCTGTTCCAAATGGGACTGGGATGTTGACCAAACCATGTGTCTCCGAGCCTGGGTTGGTCAAATTCATGAAGGAGGCAACAGCCAATCAGAGAGGGGAATATCTGTGAAATAACATGAATCCAGAAACCTGGGCGACTATGCTAGAAAAGGTTCCTGATATGAGGAGGTAGTCTTCTAGGAATCGCTGTCCCCCGAGACACTGATCATATTGTTTAGTCTGTGGATGGGATGTCTTGTATAAGCGGGGAGTGGTTGTTCTTCCATGGTTACTGTTAGATCTCATATTTTTCCAATGAGAGTACGAGTCCAGTGGTGGATTGAGGTACAACTTTGTTACAGCTTCAGATTTTCTTCACAGTAAGGCACACAAAAATGTCAGATTGTATATGGTTAAAACTTAGTATGCGCATTTCCTCCCCCACACCACCACCACCCTTTGATACTATTGGTCAGTGACGCCAAGATGTCCCTCTGTTATTGACTTGTCGGTTACAGCATCTTAAACAGATGGACAGGCTGGTGCTCCACCCATGGTTGTAATGTTTTCACAGACTTTAATAAGGGGTGGGACCACTTCTATTGCTTGTATCTTTTCTTTTGGTGATTTTTCATACATTTGTAGATCTGTAGCTACCAAGGAATCTATACTTTTGGTTATCTTAAGAATCTTAACTAAACCCCACTCGTATTATTTAATTCAACCTGTTACAATATTTTGAGAGACAACTACTTAGTGTAAAATGTTCTTATCTATGTAAGAAATTGCAGCTGTACATTCCGTCCCAGCCAGTAACCTTGATTAAACAGTCTTGCAATTGTTCGACTTGCTGAGACTACATTAAGAAAGTATTTTCCCAAGGCTCTGTATCTACTGTCATACTGTCAGCCATGTTCTGCTGCAGAGTTAGTCAGGGGCAGTTGTCAGCCACTTTGTGCCACTCTGTCATGGGCAGTCCTGACAGTTGCCATGCTTTTGTAAATATTCCTAACAATGTACATGTGTTGGGTACAATGCCTGTATAATCTTGATAATTGTTGTATATATATTTATTAATGGGAATTTTAAAATAAAGTGGGAAGTGTTGTGTATGTAGTTGGGCATGCTGTCCCTGTAAGAGAACTGGTCAGGTGACCTGGAGCGGCAGAGCTTGGGTCCACTCTAGAACCAGTTACGGAGGTGAGCATCGTAAATAAAACATTCCTGTTCAGATTTACCATTTGTCTACCCGGTATATTATTCCTGATTCCAGAGGAAGCACCAACATAACAATATTCCTTCTGGTCTTTTAAGTCATTCACATGTTTGAAACTCATTTTACATCTTAAAGGAAGAGACTGTCTAGCACATAATGAATGATGCTGTGTTTGCATTTCTTTTCTGCATTCACAGTGCTACTTTCATCAAAGTATAAGACATTAGAGCCAATTGCATTTAATACATAATTGCTGGACCACGGATTTGGATTTTACAGGATACGGTGCATTGCGATATAAGGTCTCCAAGCTACTTCATGCAGAGTATGAACACACATATTTTCTCATTATTTCTAGGCTGGTTCACTAGTACTTGATCCAATGTGTGGATTAGGAACCATTTTGCTGGAAGCTGCCAAAGAATGGCCTGTAAGTAATGTCTCAATACTAACTTCTGAATAGTTTGTAAATGTGTGCGTAGTCAGTGTAGAGAAGGTAGGATTTAAACCTTTGCTCGCTGAGAACATTAGAAATGGAGTCCTGTGTAAAAAATTTAGACTTGGGAGCAGGAGTAGGCCAGTCAATGAGATCCAGTTGTGGTCTCAACTCAATTTTCTTCTTTCCTTCCATTAGCCCTTGCCTTCCTTGTCGATCAAAAATCTACCTATCTCTGCCCTGGATAATTTCAATGATCCAGCCTCTACTGCTTTCCAGGGGAGAGAATTCCATAGACTGTCAGCCCTCAGAGAAAGGTTCAGTTCACCGCTGCCTTAAAAGGGAGACCTCTTATTCGTAAACTGTGTCCCTTAATTCTAATATTTCCCCCACCAGAGGGAAGGCCCTGCAGTTATCTACCCTGTCAAGTGCCCTTCATGTTATTTCAAGAATTTGAAATATGTGCTGCTATAAAGCAACACCTGAATACTTTTTTATACTTTGTAGTACTCAGGTGTCTTTTTATACTTCACAGTAATTAAACATTGCTAAGCATGGATGAAGTATTGTAGCTATAATGCAGAAAATACTGAAGAGGTCTGATGAAAATCAGTTTTAATGAAAGTAATAGAGGAAATTATAAGCTTTTTTTAAACATTAGTCTTGGGAATAAAAGCCCATGATCAAAATTGCTGTATTTATTCTTGTGGTATGAAATAATATCAAATTTGTAGATCTAGGGGGCTCTAATATATTACTGAACACTGGAGCCACACAAATAGTCTGCCTCTTGCTATGATAGTGTGTAGTTTATTCTCAAATTATACAGCAAAGCTGCTTGAAATCTAAAATTAAAATGGAAAATACTGGAAATTTCCAAGTTGGCAGCATCTGAAAGTGAGAAATTGAATCAATGTTTCAGGTCAAAGACCTTTTATAAAGGTCTCTTGCAAGTCCTACCTGACATACCGTGCATGTACACCAATTCCTGATTTTATTTCAACAAAATTCTAAGTCTTATTGGATCCTACAATCTCTGCATTTATATTACAGCTGATTTTTTTTTCAGTGCAGTGCATGTTCTGAATTTTGGCTCCCATTATAGTGAGGTGCCTATCATATGTTTTCATCACCTAAATTACAACTTTTGGGCAAATGAATATTCTGATCTAATTGGCTTGAATTGTGTTGAAGGAGACATGAGAACAAACTGCTTGCATACATTGACAGCAATAATGCTCGGCTTCAGACCTAAACAGGGAACGAAGAAGACAAGATTTCAGCTTTTAAGAAATCATGATAAAAACCTGTCCTATTTATCTATGAGCATTCCTCTCTTGATGTAGTTACCTTGACTGTTTTTGGTTGGTTTCCCTAGACTGCATATTACCATGGAGTAGACAATACTGCCTCACAGTTGCAGATGGCATCTGCCAATGTGTGCTTTGCAAAACTGACCAACAGCATTGACCTAATGAGAGCTTCTGTCACAGGTAAAAGGTACCTCCTAACTTATGGGGCAAAATGCATTTTGCAATGCAAACAGAAATTCCTCATCCAATTCTGGAATGTTTGGTGTCTTTTTATATTATGTTAACTTCTGAGTGTGACTGGTTACTTGAGGAAACTGCAGCATGATGGTTAGTCAAGCTGCATCTTTGGAACAGTCTTTCTGTGTAATGCTGCCTCTGTTAAGAGGGATGTGTACTACTTCCCATCCTTTTATAAAGTGCAATCTAATGATGTTCCTATTTAGATTTAATTTGGATGTAATTTATTTAGATTTAAATTGCATTTCTGAAGGCATCTTCCAGTTTCTTCAAATTGCCATTCAAAGTTTAGGTATATTGGATAATATTTCCCAGGCTTTACAGCATGAATTTCCTTTGGAGTTTGTAATCATCCAATACAAATTTGTAGAGTTAATCCTCATAATGCTATGATAAATCCACAATAGTAATTTCAATGAATAAGTTAGAGCCTTACATTTGGGGCACTTGTTAAAGGTAAGCCTAATGTCTGGTTGGATAGGTAGGATAAATCCTTTTTGACTTCCTCTACACAAGGAAGTTTAAATAATACATGCAGTGATCCTTGGGTTAGGAGTGCATTTGAAGATGATTTGCTTCCCTGACCGATACACTTAATGCTTAATCATGTCCTTGTTTGTATTAAAAAAGGCAGTCAAAATTGAGGACAGAATCTGCTCCTATGATGCTGCTTGGCCTGCTGTGTTCATCCAGCCCTGCACCTTGTTGTCTCGGATTCTCCAGCATCTGCAGTTCCTACTATCTCTGACAGAATATTCCTTGTGCTTTCTACCTATTTGATTTTTCTCTTAAAAGGAACACCAATGTTTTGTATTAGCACTAAATCTAATTAATTAATTGTTACTAATGTTGATACCTTGCACTGTACTTTAGCAAAAAGTCAATTTAACTTGGATTTGTACTGATTTATAAAAAAAGTGTTTGTGTCAAAGTTGAATCTTGTTTCACTTTAAAATGTGTAACTTTGGTTTACATATTGCAGAATTGCCTCTACTTACAGAAAGCATGAATGTAGTCATCTGTGACATTCCATTTGGAAAAAAATTTAAAATTTCACAGGATATGAAGACAATAATGCCATACATCCTCAAAGAAATGGTGAGGTAGGATTTGTCTCTTTTCGTTTTCCATATTAGATTTCATTTTTAGATTTCAGTTAAATTTGGAATTGAGGAAGGGAGGAAAATTAATTACTGGAATGCCAAAGCACTTCTTTTAAATCACATGAGGCTGAATTTTATCAGAAGCTGAAGTCCTGCCACCAGGGCCAAAAACAAGAAATAAACCCATGACAGGTAGTGGTAGGAACTGAGTCAGCACATTACTGACAATAACCAATTTAAATGTCCAATTTAAGAATGGCAGCTCACATCTAAGAGCTGCTGACTCAGTTAGGGCTGGTAACTCAGCAGTGCCACCACTGACAGTGGTGAATTTGCATGTGTAGGATGAGGGCTCGCTGATGGCTGGATATCCTGCACAAATGATAAACAGAATCTGGCATATCAGGACAAGGTGTTTTGTCAAATATTGTTCTTTTGAAATACAGAATATTGGTGGATCTTGTGTGCAAAAATAAAATCTATATTTCTCAACAACTTCCGGGCAGTTAGTGGCTTAGTGACAACCTAATTGGATTAGTGATCCCTCGTGATCTGAGGAAGCAAGTTCAAATCCTAATACCACAGCTAGTGGAATTTAAATTCAATTAATAAACCTGGAACTGGAAGCTCTGTAATGGTGACTGTGACAACGATCATTAACATTTGTAACCCATTTGGTTCACACACGTCCTTGAGGGAACTTGCTCACCTGGTTGGCCTATATGTAAGTCCACACCCACAGTAGTATGGTTGACTCTCTTAGTTGCCCTCAGAAATGGTTGAGCAAATCACTCTGTTTAGTGGGCAATCAGGAATGGGCAAAAAATTGCCTTGCTGGTAACACACATTCCATGAACAAATATAAATGTAAAAAAATTTCTGGTTTAAAGCTCATTTAGAATTACAGTTTCATAATGTGCTGATGATGATGAAATTAAAACGCCATCTGGCAAAGTAAAATCTACTAGCAAATAGTCTGTTTAATTTTTTTTTATTTGAAACTGCTGTTTAAGTAGTATAAGATGACCACTACATTACTTCCCTGCTCTCTTCTCCATTGCATATTCAGCCTGAGACTCTTCAGGAGGACCATCTCCTTAAACTCAGACAGTCCTCGTGCTGATGTTCCCGTAGTGGTACTAGTTAGATCCAAGAGATGATGCTTTGTGACTTAGTCAGGAACCTGATGGTTTCCCCTTGACATTTTTACTTTTGTTCTTCTTGGTGGCAGAGGTCATAAGGGACAGAATGACTATCAAGCTTACTTAAGGTGTCTTGTAGCTTTTCCTCATATTGCACCCATCATGCTAAGGGTGTGGATGTGGCAGGCACATGTTTAGCAGCCTCTCTGTCATAGAGGATAGAATTTCCTGAGCATTGAAGTGGTTGAGCCAATTGCAAATTTGAAATCAGTTGAAAACCAGGAGGTGAAATTCATGCCATAATCAGATTAAGTTTGGTGTTCTGTTATGAACATACTGAAACCAAATGTTCCTCAGATGATTTTGTTAAATTTCTAAATCTCTCTATTTAAAGCTTTTGCTCAAATTCAGTATAGACAATTCACTCTGCACCTAATACGTGTAATCCACTTGTTTTAAAACAGGGTGCTTAGCATTGGTGGGACGCTTGTACTACTACTTAGCCAAGAACTCTCGCTACAGATGCAGCAATGGCAGAAACTGAAGAGTCACCCAAATAACAAAGGAAATATTGCTGCCCAGCAGAATCCAGATACAACACCAAAGAAACTGGGTACAGATCCAGTTGAACATATTGATGTGCAGCACGTGTCAGTTGAAGAAGAGCAGTCTGATGTTAAAACACAGATTTTTGCCTCTCTAGTGCCAACAGGTATCTTCCAAGTGAGTCTTGGTGTTACAGAAGCTGCTATACACAGATACAAGAAAATTCTAATATCATGAGCTAATGTAATGCTGGTGACTGAGATGTTGTACAGTCTGTCATGGACTGTGCAAGATTCAAAGTGAGAGCACATTTTTATCAAAATAAGTCAGTAAGTTATTGATACAGTCATAGAGACTTTCTCTGGATAAATGAGTTAAACTCATTTGGCTGTTGGGAAAGCTCATTGACATCAGGCCTGGATCAATTCACTTCTCAGGTTTTGTTTAAAGACACCCATGCCTCACCGTACCGTTAATGATCTATGACCGATGTGCTTATGATACAGCCAAAGGTTTGTGCAAACAGTTCTTAGTCATTTGGCTAAATGGATTAGGAAACGGTGGGTAGATGATCAGTCTTAGGGGGGAGAAGCCTAGTAGGGTGGGCTGTATGTTTCATTATGTGGGCTGGACCAGAACTCTCTGCTGCTGCTCCTCCTAGTTCACACTGAAATTTCAGAACTTAGCTTGTCAGCCATCTTCATCTGCTGGTATTTGATACCACGTTTTGAACAAGCAGCAGCCTCGTGAAACCAAGTTAAATTACTGTTGGGATTTGATAAATATTGTCATTTGATGAATATTTTGAATCTCATTGAGGCCCTTATCTACTGGGGGCAAGAGTTTCACTCGAATGTCCAAAGCACACAATTTAAAATGGCGTATGGCATAAGGTCACTGAGAAGATGTGAACATCACGATGCCACAAACTTGAGCCCACAGGTTGCAGCAAGTAAAGTTCCAAGCTTCTGTCCATCAGCCATGATAGGCAACCACCAATATGTGACTGTGGGGTAATTACATAATTAGAAGTAGGCCATTCAGCCCCTTGAACCTGCTCTGCCATTTATTATAATCATGGCTGATCTGCCCTTGGCCTTAACCCCACTTTCATGCTTGCTCTCCATAACCCTTCAGCCCATTACTAATTAAATATATGTCTAACTCCTCAAATTTATTCAGTGTCTCGGCATCAGCCGCACTCTGAGTCATGAATTTCACAGATTCACCACCCTTTGAGACAAGTAATTTCTCCTCATCTCTGTTTTATCTGCTTCCTTTATCCTAAAACCATGACCCCTTGTTCTAGATTGTCCCACAAAGGGAAACAGTTGCATATGTCTACTTCGTCAATACCCTTTAGGATCTCATTGACACTTTTGGATCGTGCTCATCTCCACAGTAAGCAATGAGACTGAATGAAAACCAGCAGTGTTTAGTTCAGTTTTTTCTTTTAAAGTGTAAGATGTTATAGGATAACACATCTTGTACAGGAGAGTTAAAATAGAATGGGATAAGAGATGGTTCGATGAAGTGATCAAAGTCTTAATGTACTTTGATGAAAGTTTATATAATTAATACTAGTTGTAATACTGTTTGTAAGCTGCACATTTATGGCCTGAAGTTGTCATGATCTGCCAGCAGTCTAAAGGGGGAAATATACTGTAGAATATTAGTGGAAGCTGTTCTGGAGATTCAATAATATCAAGAAATTGTGATAACCTTAATGATTTATCTAAGAAAACTGAAAAAGAAAAATGTTATCAAACGCTTCGGATTATATTTCAAAGATGTGAAAATGTGTTGAATCAACATGTACAATGTTTTGTTCGTTTACGCTTGTGTTGTGTCATGTGATCACATTTGTATGTTCAGCAATGCAAATGTATCCAGCTTAACACAGTTTCTTTTGAACAATTTTAATTTGATGTTTTATGAGTGAAGACAGATTTTACCAAATGATTTGTTGTTTGATCTCTCATTTATAAACAAACTGCATTATGAGTAGTACAGAAGCATCTAAGGAGCCTCCAACACTGAATGACTAGTAACATCAATTTATCCAAGTGCAGGATATACTACTGCCTTATCATTGGAGGAAAAGTCAAATTAATATTTTCTAGTTCTATTAATGATGGGATCACACTGTATTGCTAGTAGCACTGTTGAAACAGCCTACAAATTAGTAAATGCACTCTTTTAATGTTATTGTTAAAGGCATTTTGAAGAAGCCACCACAGCTTTCCTTTTAGGAGGTGTTTGATTTTCATCAGTATGTTCTTTTCTTCAATTATTTAAATGACTGTGTCATTTGAATTTGCACACGTGACATGAAGGGAAATACCACCTCCTTGAGGTCTGGCTTGTCTACAGAACACTCGTTGAAAGAAATACTGGGTCTTCCCCTTATCAAAGCAGCCTATCAAAGGTTTGACTGTAGCTTTTTTCCACTTTAATGTCTCTTGTTCCACTGCCTTGGTTCATCCATGGTGATACCTCTATAATCGTACAGTATTACAGTATGATTTATCTCCGCCTGTAACTGAATTTCATCGTGTATAGCAGTTTAGATATAATGTGAATACAAGTTTATATTATTTCAGCTAGGTATGAAAGGTTAAACAAAATATTATTTATCTTTTACCTTTTCTAATTTGTCTATTTCTTTAAAAAAAAGGTGAAAAGTGATATTTTGTCAATGATATACAATTGTAACATGTTTTCGCAAGAAATTATTACTGTATGTTTTAATATGAAAAGCACATTTCTTTGTACAATGGTTTCCAAACATGCTTTTTTATTTTAATTCATTTATGAGATGTGGATGCCTCTGGTTGGACCAGCATTTGTTGTCCATCCTTGGCTGCCATTGAGAAGGTGATTTGTGAGCTGCCTTGGCTTGAACCACTGCCATCCATGTGTCTCATTCCCGTGCATTGAGCTGAATAAGCCACTAGAGGTCACCAGACACTGATCTTCTCTATGATCCGTGACCCAGCCACTTAATTCAGACAAAAATGAATCATTAAAAACCGAACGTTTTAAACAAATGGTTTTTTTGTGCACAAAGATGTAGAAAAGCAAACCATTTTTTAAAAGGCCTGGCATATCATGGCTCAAAGACTAGCCAAAAATTGGTTGTGAAAGACAGACGGGTTGCATAGAATAAGGGAAATCTGGGGAATGAATAGCATCTTAAAATCCCCCAAATGGAGCACAAGGTGAGACGAAGACTTAAAAGCAACAGCACACAAACATTTGATTCTGCTGCCTGAGTACTCACATGTGCAAAAACCCACATTTCCATTCCACCCCTCCCCTCCCAAGTTTGCTTTATACTCTTGTGAATTCATTTCAGAATTCTTGTCCTCGTCCTCGTGCAACAGCTATTCTTGATTATGCCCCGCACTCCCATCTGGGGAATTTTAAGACCAGGGTGGTGGCTCAGTGTTTAGCACTGCTGCCTCACAGCACCAGGGACCCGGGTTCAATTCCACCCTTGGGCGACGTTCTGTGTGGGTTTCCTCCAGGTACTCTAGTTTCCACCCACAGTCTAAAAATATGCAGGCTAGGTGGATTGGCCTTGCTAAATTGCCCATAATGTTCAGGGATGTGTAGATTAGCTGGGTTACGAGGGATGGGTCTGGGTAGGATGCTCTGAGGGGCAGTGTGGACTTGTTGGGCTGAAGGGCCTGTTTCCACATTATAGGGGTTCTTTGATGATCTTATCCATTACTTGGTTCCAGAATAGTACCTCATCTTTACTCTTCATCTACCCGCTCACAGTTTCACTGTCAATTTTTGATCCATCTTTGAACCGTATCCCAGGCCTCTGGAGTGCTTCTTCACAAACAGTTTGCTTTACCGTAACTCCATCCACTTAAAAACAAAACTCCTTTTGAATATCCTGTCTGTTCACTCTTGCTTCTGGTCTTCCTCTCTCTCAGCCTTCTTCCTACTTATGGTTACATTTTCCCCCCCCTTTTAACATGTTTTGCAATAGGATAAGGATTGGGTTAGGGTGAATTGGGAGCAGATTGCTCCCTGGGGTTGAGGGAGTGTGGAATAAGGGGAGTGAAGTTAATGTTGTTGTTAACATAGAGAAATTTGTTACAAATTTACTAAATACTGTGTAGACATTGTTCATGATAGTTTACAAGCCATTTGCACGTGAATTTTGAAGTCTGAACTCTGGCTGGTTATTTTGTTTCCTTTCCCTCCCTAGCTGTTTATTTACTGTGCTGGTGGATTATCACACTTTGCACAGACTTCTAATTGGCAAGAGGAGGCTTGGGAAACTGACATGGCCTTTCTCACTTTCAGGTTTAACCTCAGTGGGTTTGCAAACGAACAGGGAAACGACAAACTTGCCAGGAACTGTTAGACTCCTTTTTCTTGAACTTCACTCACTTTGATAGGCACTTCCTGGCAATGTGGAAGTAGATTCTGGAGGTCGAGCTTGCATTCTGAGGATGAAGCTGAGAAACAGGTAAACCGTGCTAGCTGCCTTCTCAGCTTTATCTACTCTGCATATGGTAAGAGGATTGATGCAGAGATCCAGCTCCAAAGAGGTGAGGGCCCTAACACGCCCTCCGAGCCGAGGAATCGGCTCACTCAACATGTCTGAGCATCAGTACTTCCAGAGGCTTTGCTTCTCTGATCAGGACACTGCCGTCGATACCTGCTGCCTCCTGGAATAAGATCTCCTTCCCAGTGGGGTCACATCGCCCAGGGCTGTCAAGGTGGCTATCTCTGGAGGACTTGCTGGCTCTTGTATGGAAAAGCGGACATAGCAACATTGGTGAGTAACTATGTGGCACGGTGTGAGACAGCACAAGGATAACGTGTGTTGACTGTTGAGTTGAGCACGTAAACAGATGTAACGAGGCCCCTGAGGAGAGGGCAGCTGCGCAAAGTGCATTCCTCTGAGGAGTGCTGATTGGAAGAAGGCTGGGACACCACTCCCCTAAAGAATATCCTTGGGGCAGCACCTCAGGTGAAGGGACACACTCCTACTGCTCACCTCTTTGGCCACCTCCATCCACACCGAATGGTCTTTTTTTTTCTCCCAATCTTTGGCAAGCATCAGTCCCTCAGCAAGACTTCCAGGAAAGAGTCAGAGACACTGGGGGCCAGTCTTCCCATGTCCGGTTTCCAATCCTGACGTTGCGGAAACCACAGGAACCAATGTTCAGTTCAACAATTCTGACCCCAGCCAGGGTCCCTTATTAATTTAAAATCTTTCTTTGAATAGGTATGGAGGGATATGGACCAAACTCGGGCAAATACAGCTAGATTAATTTTGAAAACTGGGTGGCATGGGCAAGTTGGGCTGAACGGCCTGTTTTCATGCTGTGGACCTCTATGACAGATTCATCACGTCATCCTGTCCTCCCCTCATCAGCTGCGTAGCCAGTATCGGGAATCTAATGCTTTTGCTGACATCAAGAGCCACTCCACTGACAGCACGGATGTTCTGATTTGTTACCAGACTCCCGACTGTGAGCAAATCTGCTGCAATAAAATTCTGCCCTTTGTTTCTTCTTCATACAATTAACCATTTTTGGAGTGATTATTGTGGGTGAGCAAACATTCCAAAATGGCCTCTAACAGGTCAATATCAGACGCACAAAGAATGAAAGGTTCAAGCAGCTTTGCAGTCTGCAGAGATGGTGGTTTCCTCAGCTGCTCTTTCTGACATCTTGAACGTTACAACATGTGGCCATCCTGAATTCCATCTCCTCGTCTCAGGGCAATAGTTCAAAGCACCAGGTCACCAACTGGGTAAACTCTTGTCTCCATGCCAAAGGTAACCTGAATGGTATGGTCACACTGGCCCACTGCATATATCCCTCCCTGTCCGTGTGAGGTTTAGGAATTTCTCATCACTGTTTTTTTATTTTTGCCATAGTTCTACTTTCTGCTGTATAATTTTTGTGTATACTTGCAAGGCAAACACCAGGGTTGGGGAGGAAAAACCAAACTCTAAAGCCATTATACTGAGGTATATGTGTGCATCTTGGCTCAAAATAAACATCATGATTTTGACCCTGTGAAATACTCACTGCATTAAAAGTACTGTATAAATGAAGGCTATTGTCAGTATGTTATCTATATTTATATTTGTGTTTCTTAATTTTGCCCAGTGCAGTAATTCTGTTTCCCCATCTCTCCTTGATTCTGCACTGACTACTCACTGTTCCTAAATGCACCTGATTTGACCTTTCTGGGGTCACTTGATTTGACCACGGTTTTATATCTCTTCACCCTTCAAATGTCAGAAATCAGAAAACGCACAAGTTGTAATTTTGAAACTTCAAAGGTGCAGCAGGAAACAGGGGTTAATGCCTCCAGTTTCCCACACCTAATTATACATTCCAGTAAACCTCCATAACGGCTTCTCATTCATGTGCAATCCACCTTCTATTCTTAAACCGAGAATTTATCCAGCAAATCAAAACCCACGTTTCATGGTTGGTTTAATGACAGGCACAGTATGTCCTAATTACTGAGTACTCTTAATAGAATTGTTTAAGGAGAACAGTAACAAAAGAACTGATTAATCTCCCTCTTCCCAACTTCCTTAACTGATTGATTGGAATTATCAGTGTTGCTGCTCTGTGCAGCATACTCTTTCAAGGGGCTTGTACTGGATTTATTAACAGTTTCTAATCAACCAGGGTGTTAAATGCTAAGTTCCAGTCATGATCTTGGGCAGATTGAGGAGGTAAGAATACTATGTTCATTGAAGATTTTATTTTTAATCAGTCTGTTCAGAGATGTTATGACACATCTGGGGTAGTTGGGACTTGAACCCAAGAACCCTCTTGAAGTTATTAGATGCTATTATTGATGTGGAGTACAGCCATAGGTTAATGGGGAAGAATGAGATTAATGGCCAAATGCACTTCCTCAGCTATACTAATGCATGTGATCACCTCACATGAATGTAATAGGAA